ATTAGGAGTTTACGAGAGCCCCGGCGGCTGCTGCGCGGGGCCGTGGCGCTGCCCCAAACTCCTCTTTGTAATCTCCTTTCCAATAGCGGGAAGTACATATAGGTAATTTTAATGAAGAGGTTCCTGTACCACATTATTAGCAATAAATCTACACCATTCTTTGTTGGTTAAAATCATTATCATCATCATCGGTATCATTACTGAACTCATTATTCTTGTGTTACTATCAGAGTAGATTTATGATAACACCCACCATCACGCCTGAGTTAAAGAAGGTGTAAAGGTTTGATTAATAGCTGCTTTCACGTTTTAATACTCGACATTTTCTCACATTTTTTATAAATAAGGGCCATGATAATTACAGGAGGTAATTACTGCTTTTGTTACAAAGTGTCTGATGAGGCGCACGGGCGCTTTGCTGCAACTAAAATATAAATAAATAAGTCGGGGGATACCGTAAGTTCTCGTAACGACGCAGCCAGGCGGGCTCGGGAAACAATTGAGGGTTTTGCTCAGTCACGGCCGCATTTTAGATTAATAAACGTTAACAAAAAGAAACACCCCCCCCCACTCCAATAAAATAAAATAAAACGAAGCCCCTCTCGGCGGCTTTGCCAGGAAAGGCACAAAAGCCACGGGCACAAGAGCGACGGACACAAAGAGGCGGCCCCGGCGCTAACCCCGAAAGGAGGGAGCAGCGGGAGGGAAGGCGGAGGCGCAGGGAAGCGCTACGGGAGCGGGGGAAGCGGGAGCTGGTGGCCGCAGAGGGGGACACGGTGGCCGCGGCTCCCAGCGCCGCTTCCCCCCGCGCGGCTCCGCGCCGGGAAGGTGACACGCGGCGCCGCGTCGCTTTGTCTTCCCCGTGCCCTTTGCTGGCAAAAATGGAGACATCACATCCTTGCCCAGCCCCGGCGCAGTATTTATGAAGGTTTTCTGACAAATAGGCAGGCTGGCCACGCATGGGTGGCTGCCTTCATTCCGCACTTGGCTTGTTTACATAGGACCGGCACCATTTCCACGGATTAAACAAATCACAGCGAGAAGGAGACATTTATAATCCGCCAGCGAGGCCACGGGCAGATAAAAAATGTGCGCGCGCGCGTGTGTGTGTGTGCGCGGGGGAAAGAAAAATAAACGCCCGTGTGCGGGGAGCTGACCTTCCTCTCGGAGGGTGACTCCGGGGGGGACAGGTATAAGCGGGGCTGTGCTCGAGGTGCC